GAAGGAAGGAAGGAAGGAAGGAAGGAAGGAAGGAAGGAAGGAAGGAAAGAAAAGCCGTGGTGACCGCGCGTTTTGAAAGCGCGTTTTCGTTTCCTCTCCCGGCGGGCTGTGGCCCTGCCGGGCTGCCGTAGCCGGCCTCGCGCGGCCCCAGACGCGGCGAGGAGCCGCCGTCGGCGGGACTTCCGTGTTGGCGGGATTCTGAACGCTGCCATGGCTCAGACCGTGCAGAACGTTACATTGTCGCTCACTCTGCCCATCACGTGCCACATTTGCTTGGGGAAGGTAATGGGTGATTCTGGGCACTTCTACGTTACAGGGTCGGGTATGAAGTCGCCCTCCGGAGCCGAGGGCGGTCTCCATGTGGCGGGGACGGGGCGTGAGGCGCCGAGATGGGTGCAGACGCTAACCCGCGTTCTCCTCAGGCAATGGGAGGCCGCGTCCTGGGGGACGGGAGTGCGTCGTGATTACTGGGTTCATCTGTGTGCCTTTTGGAGGAGGATGACAGCGTCCTGGGGTCTGAAGGGAGGGCGGCCAGGCTGTTCTGCCTCCGCCGGCGGCCTCACCCGGCCGACTCCGGCGTCGAAGGAGGCCTCGTTAGAAAGGAATCTCAACAGTATTTTACGCCCCTTTGCCACCCGTGTGGCGTGTGGTGAAGCCCATTGAAGCACGTTTCCTGGGAGCCTTGCCTAAGATTCCTTCGTTCCCTACACAAGTTTAATGTTTCTGTCCTTGGGCCTGCCTGCAGTGCTAGTTGGGGAGTCTTTTCCATTTCCAACCTCCTTTCCTTTGCTTAACCCAGCCGTGTCCTTTGCTCTGGATTCAAAATTTGAAAAGTAAATAGTACCCGCCCTTAAGTGATGTTTAAAAATGAAAGTCATGGTCTTTTATTCCAAGAACGGATCAGCGATGAGATAGAATACCCTCTCTTTGTGTTGCAAAAGGTGCCTAATGTGTTTGTGAAATTAGGAGAGAGTAGTTCTGAATTAGAAACGGAATTTTGAAGGTTCTAAAGCATTTGTCTGCTCTTTCGTTTCCGTTTGTGCCTCCCATTCGGTTTTCAAAAGAGCATTTCTTTAACGCATAGATCAAGAAAAGAAGATACTATGTATGAACAATGAGCTTTTTCTCCACCCTGAATTGTTTTTACGTTTGTGGTGTGTCTGTTTACCCTGAAATGCAGACTGAAACTACAGCCGCATATTTAGAATTGAGACATACGAACTTCAGAGAGCAAACATTTGAGTGCCAGCCAACACGATCATCTGCCTTAGGTGTTGGGGTTCTGTGTGAATTTACTGAGTTCCAGAAGTAGGAAGTCAGGCTTGGAAGCAACTGATAACTTGATATCCCTCAGAATGAAATGCCAAGGAAATAGCAGATGTGCTGTGAGAGTATATAGGGGATGGCGTGATCAATTCTGACTGGAGAGATCAAGGATGGCTGCATGGAGGGTGGTATTTGAGCTGGCATTTGCTGACACTGCCTACTTACATAGCTGGGAGGAGGAGATGATGTTGTGTTTGCTCTTCTACATTTGGTTTCTGACATGAAGTTCCCACAAGTATATGTTAAATTCTGAGTGAATATGCTCCCAGCAATAGCATTAAGAGCTGATAAAAATATCTTGGGAAATAATTTTCACTTGGTCTTAGTTGTATGCTTTATATCTGTTTCCATTAGTTTAGTTAATAGGCCCTTTTGCAGTTGTGTTGAAAATGTGTTCTGCCTGGTTGATTTTCCATACCTATGCTTTCTGTGTGTAACAGAAATGATTCTAGTAGAGTACAGTGCTTTGAAGATTACAGAATGCTTTTGTATGTATTTAATTACTTCATTTACTCTTCTCACCAGTGCTGTGAGATAGATAGGTTGGTTGCCCCCCCCCTTTTTTTTAAACATAAAACTAAGGCTTATAGTCTCTGGTTTGAACCTTTGTCGTTATCATTTGTGTCTTCAGTAGATTAGTTCCTAAAAACTGTGAGCAGACACTCTTGGGGGTCTCCTTCCCTCCCTCCCTTCCTTTCTCTCTCTCTTTTTTTCCTGTATTTGTTGGCTGTGTTCTAAAATGAAATCTGCTAATAAGAGATTAACGATTTGTGAACTGTCATCTTTTTCTATTATGGAGGCATAAAGGTGTGGTGGTTGAAGGCCTGAGTTCTATGTTCAGACTGCATGAGTTCTAGCTTCTTCCATTTACTAGTTATATGACCTCATTCAAGTTACTTAACCTCTTTCAGAGCAGTTTCCTTATCTGTAAGATGGGAATAGTAGTAGTAGCAACATCCTTCCTTGCATTTTGGGATGATAAATCAAGTAATTCATATGTAGTGCTTAGCATAAGGCCTGGGACAGAATAATATTCAATAAATGTTTACCTTCAGTGTGGGTGCTGAGACAGGCCCTCCTGTGAGCAGACCAACCTTTCAAGTAACTGTTCTTTCCGGTGGCTTTCTGAGGCAGTGCATTTACTTGAAGATTTGCTTTCCCAATGGAGTGAGTTTATTCTAGAAATTGCCACAGGATGTCCAGAGGTTTTAACTGGTTTCATATAACTGTTGCCTTTTGTATAGTTAAAGCAAATCTGATCTGCTTGGACCATTTACCCTCCCCACATACTGGTATTTGTGGGATACTGGAGATAGCATAACCTGGGGTAGTAGGTTCCCATTGTTATTTCCACCTCCCTGACACAGCATCTCTGGCCAACTCTGAGATCTACCTTTAAGGTCCTTTTTGCCTAGCCCTCTCCCAGATAACCATTCTTTTGCCATCCTCATTATTTGTCCCCAAATCTCAACATCAGCAAGATTATCTGTCCCCAAATCTCACCATCAGCAAGATCCTTTTCTTTTGCTTGTTCAACAGAATTAGGGGCCATTATCCCTGAAAGGTCACTGTAAAAAAAAAAAATGCATATTACTTTAAAGGAGAAGGTTGGGGTAGGAGAGACCTCAAATCTAAATGGATAATATAGATGCTGATTGGGATGGGAGAGAATGGAAAGGTAAAGAAGTAGTGGAGATAGCCTAAGTATGCACATTGTCAATACTTTGTCTTTTCGATACAAATGTTCTTAAAATTGGACAGTTTAGACATTTTGCATTTTCTGCCTGTCTCTACCCCAGTCTTAAAGGTGGATTCTCTCTGCGCAGTAACGTTTAGCAACCTTGCCAGTATCATAAGAGCTCTGTGTGGCTTGAAGAAGGTCGGTACACATCCTGTGGGAAGAGTTTTATGGAACATATTTTATTGCCTGTTTCTCCTTAATTTTTTCCCTTTGCCTTGGACTAGTGGGCCAGCAAGCAGAAATATAGGAATGATCTAGTTCAGGATATCTGTTAAATGACATTTTGGTCCTGGCATCAGATTGCTACAGACCAGTTTATCTCAGGATAATTCGAAATTAGGATTCAAGCTGTGAAATCAAATGATTGTTGCATGTAATACCCTTATTGACTTTGCGTTTTTTCATGAGTAACATGTCTCCCAATGTGGCCCATATTTAGTTTTATGAAAGGATGAAGGAGGTTCTAAAGTGAAATGCCAAGCAACTAGACTTCTGATGCTGTTTAACATTAGTATATTGTATTCAGTTATTCCTCACTTGAGTATGAGTCCAGTTTGAAATATATTTTAAATATTTAAAATAAATATAAGTAAGTGAGAGTATTTTGAAATCATTTGGAAAGGAGTTGAAATTGAGGTTTGACTATAAGCGGAATGGAATTGTGTTGGAATGAATGGATATGATAGTAAATCTTTAACTAAAGACTATTTTTCATTTGGAAGGGAATCAAGCTTTATGTAGCTCTACAATATTAAGATTTGTACTTATGTAAGGGCAAGCTCTCTGGCTGAAATAATCTGAGATGAAATCAGCTTCCTTAGGATGTGGGGTGTCTGTTTCTTGTAGAGTCCAGTAATAGGGCGGACTGCTTCCAGCTTAGAGTACTACAGGAAGAATCCTTTTTTTTTTTTCAGGGAGGACTTCTTGCCTTGCTTTCCACCCATATTGTTGATTAAAAATGTTGACAAGGTAAGGCTAGCTACAAAGCTTTATGCAACTTTGAGTCCTCATTATAGGTTGACTAAATTCATTCATCAGTGTTCATCAGAGGCTGTTGATTGGCTAGCATGTTATCAGCCTCAGTACACTGAGCCCACATTTGAGTCCTGACTGCCTCTCAGTTCCCAAGAGTGGATTTAAGAACCAGCCTTGTACATAACTGTCACAAGTAATTTGCTTTGAAAAAAGCCATATGGACTACCATTTTTCTCTTTTCCAAATTAAGTTTAAAGAATGCAGACACTTTAAAAAATGTATAATAATGTGGGGTTTTTTTTAACATACTTAGAGCATAATAAAAAATTCACTAAAAAAAAGTGTTGATATATCCTAATAATTTTAAGGTTGGTATGTAATAGCTAGCATACTTACTAAACAAATAAGATTCCTGAAAGCATTCCAAGTAGGGATTAAGGTAGGGGAGGCAAAAATGTATTACCTTTCCATTTACCTGGACAGAAATGGGGACCCGGACCAACAGGCATTAAGCAACTTAGTTCTCAGGATAACACAGTTTTAAAGTTCTAGGACCGAAATTTTGGTCTAGAGCCAAAGATTTCTTGAAACATAACAAGAACAATCCAGAAATTTTATTTTTGAAAAGTTTCCAAATTCCCAGAGTTGGTGATGGTAGGGGAGCTATTAGCATCATTTCCATACCTCAGCCTTCTTTTTCACAGTCTTTCTAGGTTTTGTCTCATGAAGCCCATAAAATGTTGACATAGGTGCAAGATAGAATATTATTTGAAGAAAGATTAGCTCTAGTCTCTAGCAAAGGTGATAAGAGACAGAGGAGTTGACTTTTAAGTGTGATTGCCAGGCTAGTTGGTTGTCTTTCCTTCCCATCACCTCCATCAGTGCCCCTTTTCTGTAGCCTCTACTGATCCCAAAGTCTTGATCCTAATCTTTTGCTTCTTTCAGGCGTGTGCCCTCTATTTCTTACTCTCAGACTATTGTTTACTAACTCTACCCTAAGGAAGAAAAATCTATTTCTTAGTTGAAAGAGCACTCAATTTCAGCTGAGTCACATTGAATGATGGTTAAATACTGGTTCCGCCACTTATAACCTGTATTATTATTTCCTTGAGTCTCAGTTTCCACAGCTGAAAATGAATTTGATACTACCAAGGCCATTAGGTTATTTGGGAAATTCATGTGAATATCCTAGACCAGTGGTTCTCAAAGCGGTGGGATGGATTTCATCCCCCAGGGATAT